GGGAGGAAAAGCCACAAACATTCCCCATGGGAAAGGGCTCCAAACCCACTCCATGGTGCTTCGAGGAGGAAAGACCCCCCGTGTGCTGGGAAGGTGGCTGGAGCTTCAACCAGAGCTCTGATCTGGTGGTCCATGAGCAGCTTCACAGCAGAGAGAAGCCCTTCGTGTGCTAGGAATGTGGGAAGAGCTTTAGCTGGAGGTCCCACCCGATCCGCCACCAGAAGATCTGCACCAGGGAACGGCCCTACACATGTGGGGAATGTGGAAAGAGCTTCAGCAAGAGCTCCAGCCTCACGTACCACCAGCGCTTCCACAGTGGGGAACGGCCCTACAAGTGCTTGGAATGTGGGAAAAGCTTCAGCCAGAGCTCCCACCTCCTCACCCACTGCTGGCTGCACACAGGGGAACGGCCCTACAAGTGCCTGGAATGGGGGAAGAGCTTCAACCGCAGCTTCAGCATTGTCATCCACCAGCGTGTCCACACCGGGGAACGGCCCCACAAATGTCCTGAGTGTGAGAAGAGGTTCCAGACCAGCTCTGATCTCCTTCTGCATCAACGAATGCACATAGAGGAGAGGCCCTTCCACTGCACTGACTGTGGGAAGGGCTTTGTCTGCAGCTCTGACCTCATTAAGCACTGGCACATCCACACACTGGCTCTGCCTTGACCTCACACCAAAGGACCCACCGGTAAGGGAAGCCATCCGAGTGCCCCAACTGCTGGAAGAGCTTTGTCCGCTGCTCCAACTCCATCACCCATCGGAGGACCCATTTTGGATGATCCACAGTGACTCACATTGGGCAGAGACCTGGTGGGCAAAGGCCTGTTGACCAACGTTTCTGGTGACCCATGTTCCTTGTAACCCACTGTGGTAGTGCTTTACCCCCCCCCCCCAGGCCTCGCTATGATCTGAGAAATGCTCGTTAGGCCTCGGCCTTGATGAACAGCCCCTGGACTGAGTTGCTTTTGAGCTGCTCAGAAACACTGCTCATAGGAACTGGTGCTGTCTAATGAGCTCCTACTTTTCTTAACCAATGGCCTTGGAAACTTGTTTTTCTTGCCCAAAGAACAACCCAAGTGGAATCGTATTTTTGTTCTCCAACTTTCAGAGAAAGTCACAGACCTGAATTGGGGCAAGGAGGAGGGACAATTCCTGTGCCTCAAGCCCCCTCTGAGGGGATCCCATAACCAGTGGTGCTGATTGAGACCCTTTGAGATCTCTGAGGCCACAGCAGCTGTGACAGCAACCGCCCTGTGGTTGGGCCTCTCTGAGCCCCCAGTTCTCCCATTTGCTGCACTCAGAGGATCCTGACCGACAGCAGATCCAGGGCTGATCCCTCTCACTCCTTGAGGCTCAGCCATTCTTCTGAGAATGTGCAATGGCATCCCAAGGGAGGATTTTCCTGAATCCCAAAGGAATTGTTCCCAGGTACCTTGTCCAGACTCTTTCTGTCTGTGTGAGTGTGAATCTGCCATAACAAATGTCCCGGGAACACTGCTCTCCTGGATTCTTCAGCACTTTGGATTTGNTCCCTCTCCTTGTCCTTCCTCCCCCAGACAACAACTTGAGGACAGAGACCATGGAGGACAAATCCCCCTGGCAGAACCTGATGGAAGAAGCTGTTTTGAACAGCTCCACTGTGCAGGAAGGCAACGGGGAGGAAAAGCCACAAACATTCCCCATGGGAAAGGGCTCCAAACCCACTCCATGGTGCTTCGAGGAGGAAAGACCCCCCCGTGTGCTGGGAAGGTGGCTGGAGCTTCAGCCAGAGCTCTGATCTGGTGGTCCATGAGCAGCTTCACAGCAGAGAGAAGGCCTTCACATGCTTGGAATGTGGGAAAAGCTTCAGCTAGAGCTCCCACCTCCTCACCCACTGCTGGCTACACACAGGGGAACGGCCCTACAAGTGCCTGGAATGTGGGAAGAGCTTCAACCGCAGCTTCAGCCAGCCTTGTCATCCACCAGTGTGTCCACACCGGGGAATGGCCCTACAAATGTCCTGAGTGTGAGAAGAGGTTCCGGACCAGCTCTGATCTCCTTCTGCATCAACGAATGCACACAGAGGAGAGGCCCTTCCGCTGCACCAACTGTGGGAAGGGCTTTGTCTGCAGCTCTGACCTCATTAAGCACTGGCACATCCACACCGGGGATAGGCCGTACAGGTGCTTGAAGTGTGGGAAGAACTTAAACCAGAGCTCTGCCTTGACCTCACAGCAAATGACCTCACACCAAATGACCCACTGGTAAGGGAAGCCATCCGAGTGCCACAACTGCAGGAAGAGCTTCGTCCGCTGCTCCAACTCCATCACCCATCGGAGGACCCATGTTGGATGATCCACAGTGACTCACAGTGACTCAGTGACTCACATTAGGCGGAGACCTGGTAGACAAAGTCCTGCTGACCAACGTTTCTGGTGACCCATGTTCCTTGTAACCCACTGTGGTAGTGCTTTACCCCCCCCCCAGGCCTCGTTATGATCTGAGAAATGCTCGTTAGGCCTCGACCTTGATGAATAGCCCCTGGGCTGAGCTGCTTTTGAGCTGCTCAGAAACACTGTCTGCTCATAGGAACTGGTGCTGTCTAATGAGCTCCCGCTTTTCTTAACCAATGGCCTTGGAAACTTGTTTTTCTTGCCCGAAGAACAACCCAAGTGGAATCGTATTTTTGTTCTCCAACTTTCAGAGAAAGTCCCTAACCTGAACTGGGGCCAGGATGGACAATTCCTGTACCTTAAAGTCCCCTCTGTGTGGGCCCCATAACCAGCGGTGCTGATTGAGACCCTTTGAGATCTCTGAGGCCGCAGCAGCTGCGACAGCAACCTCCCTTTGCTTGGGCCTCTCAGAGCCCCCAACTCTCCCATTTGCTGCACTCGGAGGATCCTGTGCACTCGGAGGATCCTGAACGACAGGAGATCCGTGGCTGATCCCTCTCACTCCTTGAGGCTCAACCATTCTTCTGAGAATGTGCAATGGCATCCCAAGGGAGGATTTTCCTGAATCCCAAGGGAATTGTTCCCAGGTACCTTGTCCAAACTCTTTCTGTCTGTGTGTGAATCTGCCATAACAAATGTCCTGGGAACGCTGCTCTTCCTGGATTCTTCAGCACTTTGGATTTGTAAGTCGGTCAGACCTGTAAGTGAGTTACTGTTATGGTGTCGTAAATTCTATGTGAATGCTTTGCTAAATTGTTTGACTTCAGTTATCAGTTAAGTGCTGTTAAGTTAAGTGCTGTTAGGCCTCTAGGCATAAACTGTTGATCAAGTTCAGGCTCAGTTTAGCATGGTGGCAGCTGTGGCAGGGGCCTGACCCTGCCCAGGACGGCTGATGCCACCTGCCTGCTCCAAACTGGGCTGGACTGGTGCTCCCAGTGCTGTGTGGGCCAGGGCCGCTTTTGGGGACCTCCCCAGCACTGCCTGGCTGCTTTTGGGGTGTCAGCACCTGCCCAGCGCTGGGGATGGGTTGTGTGGGAGGAGTTGGGGCTG